GCTAGTAGGGTGGAGGCCATTAACTACTAGTAGCAAGAAGCTACTAGTGACAAAGGCTTTTGGGTTGGAGGCCATTGCTTCTAGGGTGGAGGCCATCGCTAGTAGGGTGGAGGCCATTACTAGGAGCAAGAAGCTACTAGTAACAAAGGCTTTTGGGGTGGAGGACATCGCTTCTAGGTTGGAGGCCATCACTAGTAGGGTGGAGGCCATTGCTAGTAGGGTGGAGGCCATTGCTAGTAGGGTGGAGGCCATTACTACTAGTAGTAAGAAGCTACTAGTAACAAAGCGAGGCTTTGGGTTGGAGGCCAATGCTTCTAGGTTGGAGGCCATCGCTAGTAGGGTGGAGGCCATTCCCCACTTACCTCTTCGCAGCGGTTGGATGTGTTTGCCTTTCTTCAGACAAGCCTAGTAAGCCTAGTCAAAACAGTGTTTTCTTTTAGACCTAAAAGCTTTGGATCTACACTTCCTCCCCGTATACATTATACAGCTATTGTGGAACTGCGCATCTATATCTTCGGCACCTATGTTGGCCGCATATCCTCAAACACCATGGTGATGATGTCAGGGCTTTCTCCATGTCTAGATACAAATGTAAACTATAATATACGTTGTGTCTGTCTAATAACCTACTTAGTGTTTTCATCCGCTACTATTTGTCTTGCTTTTTGGTGGCGGGTTCGAAGTGTGTCGCTTCTGGCATCTATGAATGATCCTGGTATATACTTTAAGTCGTTGAGGCAAAATAGAAAGTAACGGATTGACCGCACCGACCTAAACTGTAACAACCGGATGTCGATGTAGCACATTCAACACTCCACAGTTTATTGCGTGTATGATTGTGCATGATTGTGAATCTGTCTTGGACCTGGGACAAATCTGCAGCCAATGAAATTGCTCTTTATTTTTCCCGTGTTGTTTGTGATGGACGTAGCACAAAGCTTCCGCACGTGCTTGCGCCAACCTTCCGCCATGTGAAAGGGAGCTTCCGCATGCTACTTGTTGAGCGGGAACTTCCGCTGAGCTTACGCCACAATGGCTACCGAGCGCTTCCTATGTTTCTTTAACGTTTGCTTCCGCGTGACAACGAATATTATAGCAGGTCAAATAGATTTCTTGGAGCTGTCACTTCGAAACGTAAGCTTCCGCAAGGCTTGCGCGAGCCTTCCGCACGGCTTCTGCGAAAATTGGCAGGTGTTTTGTACATTTTAGTGGCTAATCATGTTGCGCGCGAAAGAGTCTGCAAAGTGGTGCCCAAGAACGTGTTAAGTTATGTCCCAAAGCAGACTACGAAAAACTAAGGATTTGAAAAAAGGAACTCAAATATGGCTTCTTCAGGTCTGCATGAGAGCCGCGAGAGGTCGCAGTAGTCAGTAGTCAAACACGTCTCTGTCACTTAAAACATTTCTGCTTATCCTCAGAATTCCTTAAATATTGTATGTACAATTTATATAGATTATATAGTTATATAGATCTACTGATCTATTTAACTCATGATCCTTTGGTACTTCCTTTGGTATCCTGCGATCCAAAAGCAGTCGCATCTGGCCTTGATGATGAGTCCTAAGGTGTCGCTGTCTTTGTCAATCTTGAGCCCAACCTGTAGGTGATTTACTTCGGCTTCCACAGATTCCAGGGCCGAGGCGAAAAGCCAAAACTATTTGGTTCGTGCACTCAGTGCCACATGCCTGGTATGTCAGACAAAGCGCTCCTAAGATTGTATGCCATAGAATCGCAAACTCACACTTAGAATGAAACATGACTGTAATGACGTAGCCTTCATGGCAGCTGTTTTGGGGGACTTGTGTCATGAAGGTTTGTGAAGGCCAGAAAGCCAGGTAGGTGTTCTCCTGGATTTGTAAACTGGCTTCATCTATGGGCCTACAAAATCCAGCTTCAACCGGCCACAGTCTACTCACTCTACTTCCTCTCATGGTCAACCGTCTGCAGTAAAAGTACCTGGACCTGGACCTAAATATCCCGTACTCTGCAATCTGAATCTTGTCAGTACCTGTCTCTTAGTTCCAGAGTCTTGCAAGTTATCACTTCATTGAAACAGTACCAATTTCAACATAAGCTTCAGCGTAAGGTTCAGGATATTTGTTGGGTCACCCGGCTCCCAAACCTCAAAACTTGTGAGCCGTCTCCAATGCGCCTTGTCACCATTCTTGTGCAGAACCAAATCCTGCTCCGCTGAAACAGTTTTAGGTGCCAACTGTTTTTTGTAGGTGTTTAAAGTCCATCATCCCAGGGATTCGGGTCCTACCATTACTTACAACATCCTACAGTCCGACAGTGACAGTAATTATCTTATGATGCTCGACAAATGACTCTTCTCGCTGCTCGGCAACCAATCGCCTTTTGTCAAACAGGGGGGAAAAGGCTTACTTGCGCTGCTGGCATGATGAATTGTTGAATTCAAGTACTTACACATGAGCGGTGTTCAAAATTGTGTCGTCTTTTCTTGCCGAGAAATCAAACCTTACGGTAGGCCTTACGCAAAGCTTACGTTTTTCTATGTTTTGCTTACGGTGACACATGTATGCATGGCTATTCTTACGTTGTGCTTACGGCGAAGGTATGCAAGTCCACTAGTCACATATGAAATGTTGTTGCAAAACAAGAAAGGAAACATAATCAAAATCAACAAGTGTCGCTTCCGGTAGCCTTCCGGCATCGTTCAAGTCTGCACATCCTTACGGCAAACCTTACGGACACCTTACAAACATCAGCTAAATCACTATGTTCACTTATTTTTCGCTGGTCCCTGACGAAAACTACTATATAAAAAGAAAGCGTGAATTTAGAACGCTGCTCACATGACATCGGTAAAAAAGAAGACTGCAAAATATCATATAAGCAGTCTGCTACAGCGAGAAAGAGGCCCACGGGTGAAACTTGCGGTCAAACTTTCAGAACAAAAGCATCAAGCCTCAGCAACAACCGCCCAGTGCTCATTCTATCCAACTTGGTGACTTGATCAAGGCAAAAGTGGCCGGCCTTCATAGTTGGCCGCTCGATAAGCAGCTCCAGTTCATCAGAAGCACCAGCAATCATCTTGACGAGCGCAGAGGCTGAGCCTTCTTTCTGCTGAACTTGTCTCAGCCGGTCGTATTTCTGAATGTTCCTTAGTGAACAGTTGCCCCGGCCCGGCAAGCTGTTTATACGTGTGGCAGTTTCCCGATGCTTCCCGACAAGAACATGTGTATATATATATTTATACATGTGTATATATATATATTGATAAAGTTATCATATACATATATGTGTTTAATATTGCATCATACATAATATGCTTGTCGACAGTTATGCATAACGTACATTCTTGCAAATCAAGGAACCAACTAAAAACAAAGCACACATATATATATATACACATACACACTGTATGTATAAGTATAACATAGTATAACGTAGTATTACATAACATAGAGATAAAGTGTATACGTATCTATATGTATGCACAATATTACATAATGTGTATGATTACAACTTGCTCTACGATCGTGTTTACGCTCGGGCCCTGGGGAATGAATCTTCACTACAATCCAACTCCCTCTCATTGTTCTGTGGCCACTAAGGCTTCTCCCCAACGAAGTATACGAAGCGGGCGACTGACCAGCAAGAGCGCCGCCGGCATCAACATGCCTCACAACCTCGAACCAGCTGTAACGACTCGGTCTGGATGCAGGAACTGATTGGTTTGAACCCCTTGATCAGAAAACAAACAACGAACAAACAACAGGATGTTTACATACTTCTCATCGGTGCAGGACACAACTAAAAGCAATGTGCGTCTCGGGGTGCCAGAGCAAATGCACTCAAAGTATAATTTGGCCACAGGTCCGTTATCTACAAAGACTTGGCACAGTCAAGGTTTTGCAATTTCTGAATGACGGTCTCTCAAACTAATACTTGATTCAAGCATTGCATATGTTTGCCCCAGAAGGCGTTGAAGCTGATGATAGAAGAGAACCAATGAGGTATAGGCTCTCTTGACGCTTTGTCTCTGGCCATGTGGGGTGATCATGGCTAAGAAACAGTAAAACACACACAAAACCTATTGTTGGTCTTGCACCACGCTGGAGTGAATTCCGGTGAGCGGGAAAGGTCACGGAAGGCTGCTGAGTTCCACAACCTTTATCTCCACACCTACTACTAGCACTATATGTATATGCTCCAAGTAAAGGCGGCTCACAGCTCGAGATTGCACTGGTGCTCACAATGGCAAAAGAAAGCGCTGAGGAGCACAATGGGTCTCATAGACAGTGTCCAAAGCTCCACCAAGCTTGCCACCGACCTGCCATGGAGTGCGTTTCCGGTTCTTCAAATTTTGGGCAAAGTGTTTATAAGATATTGCTAAAAATCACCAAGCATTTCGGCTTATGATGTCACCAAGCAGTGGCAGCTGAACAAGGAAGTGTTGGTGGGCCAATCCAGCTCTAAACACAAGCATGCATCCCTCTCCAAACGGTTAGACTGGAATACAAAATTTGAGTGCACACGCCCAGAAGGGCCAAGAGCGACGGCCTACAACAAAATAGCAAAAGGATGCAAAACGAACCTGCTAGCAATGGCCTCCAACCTAGAACTGATGGCCTCCAACCTAATTGCTGACATCCCCTTTGTCTGTCTCTATCGCGGTATGCAATGAGGGCCCTGCATCTCATTGCAGGCAACTCCAAGGCAAGGGCTCTGCCTGACCCTTTCTTTGACTGCCAGTGGCCAGTGGTGGCTTTGTTCAATGGCAAGAATGTTTTTTGTGTATACAATCACAACGAACCAGTTAAACATAGTGATACCTTACATTGCCTTACAACGACTTTATTCTCAAGCAATGCCACCCAAGAACCCCATGACACTTGCAGTATAGACATGGGACTCAAGTATTGCAGTAGCGATCTGTACCCACAGCAGACCCACATGTGGCGACCTTGGAGATCTTCACCGTGAACTGCTCGTTCCTTGGAGACCCGGTCACCCGGATTCATCGAATGAAAATCAAAACCCGGGAAGTGCTACGTCCAATGAAAACAGATCATCCATAGTTAATGTGTAGATTAATATATATATATATAACATAGGAACCAGGAATCTTGTGAATGTATATGGATTATTCTTAGGTCTTCCACTTCTGACAAACCACAAGCTGGACCAGGCTAAATCGGAGGTTCCTCCCAACACAATGCTTGCTTGTCGTGCCATGATTGTCCATCAAACGGCTAAAACCCATTCTTGTTCTCTTGGCCAAGTCTTCTCCAAAGAATTCCTGCCTTAACACAATGAACGCTAAGTGGATGTGGCCTTAGGGCTTCATGCTGCATACTTGTGACTTGAATGCTGATGCCACCCGTGCTGCCTCCACCGCTGCCGCAACTGAAAGATGGGTAAACATTGACCAAAGTCACTGGTAACTGGTTGTGTAAACGAGCTTCCATGGGACATATTGAGTTGGTTCTGTACCCCAAAACCTGCTGCTGTGTTGCTCTGCCGGCGCTTCCTTTCCGTGATTGAAACCTTTTGACACTTTGAGTTTCAAGTGTCAATCAAAGCTGTGTGGAAGGAAGTATGCTGCGCTTGCAATATTGCAGGTCAAACCTAAACCTCATGCCTCATGCTGCTACTCCACCTTGACAAACGATGATGTCTTTCTTGTTCCCAAGGTGCTCGGCTGGTGCTGGTGTCTTCTCTTCCAACTGTGGCCACGGCCCAGGCGGAAAATGGTCGTGGCAGCCGCTCACAATGTTGAGTACCCTAAACTCACTCTACGTGTCCAGGATGTCAAGGAATGCCATAGATCCCCAACTCAGTCTGGGGTTAGTTCCACTTGCTTCAAAAACACAGTATGCTGCTTGGAAGTGGTGCAAACTCGTGTTCAAATCTGCATTTTGTCCAAACCAAACAAAAAACATGTCTTGTCTGTCTTGTCCAGTCTTGTCTGTGCAATAACAATGTCATCGCAGAATCGCATGTCCGCATGTAAGGTTTTTGGGATCAAAGTTTCGCTGTTTCAAGCCTCCTCAATGCTCTCCTCTTTACTTTCTTGAATCTGAGCGGCCTGGCATCAAAGTCCTATACCAAATTTTACAAAACTATCCGATTGGCTGCCGACATCGAAGTGTTTCTAAAGTAGCTTTGTCATACTCGCACGTGGATAGGACAGAGGAAATACTTAAATAAGCAACCATCAATAAGTAATAGGGTACCCCACATGAAATCTGTTGCCCAAATCCTTCAAATGCTGAAATGTTCTCGGGTCCAACGTTCTATGAGGGCTTGGGGCACCAGCTGACCTGTATCTTATTGTTGGATATTTGGGGTTCCTACTGTTACTCTTTCGTCAGTCCAGGCAGCTGATTTATCAAGGTTTTGGCCTTACTACTAGGAGCAAGGACGCTACTAGGGCTCCTGGCCATAGCAAGGACTCTACTAGGGTCTCCTGGCCTACTACTAGGAGCAAGGACGTACTAAAGGCTCTTGGCCTTACCACTGGGAGCAAGGACGCTCGTAGGGGCTCCTGGCCTTACTACTAGGAGCAAGAGGCGCTACTAGGGGCTCCTGGATCTACTACCAGGAACAAGGACACTACCAGGGGCTCCTCACCTTACTAGTTACCAGGAGCAAGAGCAAGGACGCTACTAGTGGCTTCTGGCCTTACTACTAGGAGCAAGATCCTGCCCTCACTACTAGGAACAAGGATGCTACTAGCAGCTCCTGGCCTTACTACTAGGGACCAGCGCTACTGGCGGCTCCTCACCTCGCTACTATCAACAAGGACGCTACTAGGGGCTCCTGGCCTTACTACTCTACAAGCAATGGGCGTCCCACAAAGGTATCCAAGTGTTCCAGTGTCATGGCACCCTCTACTTAGCACTTGCTCTTACATTAGTTCAACAACGACAACGCGTGCGCCAAGGAGAAAGTCATCGATCACAAACCACTAGGGGGAGGACTCCCGAGGACCCAACTTGGGCTTCGTCTAACCGTCTCATCCTTAAGCAGAATATGAGGAAAGCAAGGCTGAAGAAAGTTACCTTTGCACTGTGATCTTCTGCGTCCAGGATTGGTACGTGTGTCCCTACCAGTTGCAACCACATGGACCAGTTCAGCAGCGTGATAGCGTTGCGCTGCTCTGTCCAGGTTGTTTTCAGCCGAGCAAGTTAGCGGCTAGCGTTCCACAACTCAAACTTATATATAGCTAGCTGATATAACGTTCAGTATAGCAATATGGGCAGCCTCGTTACTTGTTGGAACATGATGACATATGAGAACGTTTAAGAAAAACAACGCTGATTCCACATCTCACAACCCAAAGCCCTGCAAAGAAGCTTTTCCTGGCCCCTCATTAGTGACAGGCTCTGATGTGTGTTGCGCCATGGTCCGCGGTAGTTGGGGAAGCTCCGGAAACAACGCAGCCCCGAAGGTCACCGTTGGTTTGTTCAGGTATGTAACCTGCAAGCTTGTAACAGCTGTCAGAACACTGGCAAAATGACACTGAAGAATCCTGATAGAAGTTATCATCGCATCTTTATCGGTCGCAACTCTACCACAAACCAAGGTCGACCTGACATTAACTCGTTTTTCCGGTTATCGTTCAGGCAATCTGGTCTGGTCAGTTGCGATTATTCTCTTGTCATGCCTTCGGACTTCGGTCATCTCTATTTGCCTGTCATTTCTGTCGGGATGCTCACTGACAGAAGCATGAACGTAATGATCGGTAATGTTTGCATGTTGATTGTTTCATCAAAACAACAAACACAAACACACACACATACATGTATATATATATATACAACATGGCAGAAACGGTCAGAAGACAAGAACCCAAAAACCACCGGGTATGTATCGGACCCATGAGAGGAACTGCAAAAATAAAGGGCAGATAACTTATATACAACAGATGCTCGTAAAACGGACAAAATGACGAGAACAAACTCATGAGGAATAGTCTCCAATTCACACGAGCTGGGCTAGAGAACGGCTTGTTGGGACGTGTCTTTGTCTCGCGAGTACAGTCATTGCCTGTGACTTGCACTGTGTACCGCAGTTTCAGACTTGGGTCAAACTATATCAATCTATATTACATATTTGTATAAATACGTATTATAAACAAACAAACATTTCCAGGTGTTCCAAAGGCATATACTCCGAAATTGTACATATCAAGCGCTTGGGGGTTGGCCTTGTATTCTAATATCAACACCACTTAGCATACTGCGCTGATGCATTGCGTTGCGGGAGGAGGTCGCTGATCATGCGACTATGATCCTTGCGCACGTTGGTCACAAAACCCTGGCCCAAAGAGAGAAGAATGGAGAAAGACTTGCGATTTTCCACAACTCCATGACTTGCAAAAAGGCTGCTTTCTTCCCTTTCTTGTCCAGAGTGACTTCCTGCAAGCCAATTGATGGTCAAACGAACTCAACAACAACAACAACAACAACAACAACAACAACAACAACAACAACAACAACAACAACAACAACAACAACAACAACAACAACAACAACAACAACAACAACAACATGATCTCCATTCTGCTGCATTCCTGGAGAGTGTCCAATGAATTTGCATGAACTTGCTAAGATAATGAACGCAGTTCAAGTCGTGCTTTTTGACGAACAACTCCCACTCTCATCCACCTTGATCACCGGACGTTGGAAAAATAGCTCCAAGGAATTATTGTCCACGACGAGCTTTGCCAAGCCCGCTGCTTTCGTTTTGGTACCATTCACTTTCACCAAGCGGCCATATGGCTGAACGTCCCTCAGCCGTGAATTCAGAGGGCGGGTAAGAAGACAAATTATGACAAACTACAGTGAACACCTGAACGCACTGTTTAATATAAATGCGCGCGTTACAGAATACACTAGCAAAGTTGATGAACCCGCTCGTTGGTCCGGAACCTCACTTGCCTCTGTCAAAAAGAGCTCATCGGGTAGGTCAGGCAAGACCCACAAAAAGGGCGCGCAAAACATAACACAGCAAGAACCAAGTGGCAAAATTAGGCAAGGACGCTTGAAAAGCGGACTGCCAGACTCAACGCATTTCACAACCTCCGTGCACAGAAACGGTTGTGGTTCAGCATCTCTGAAGTCGTGTTTTTGCCAGGACGTATTGCGCCCTTTGCAAAACAAACAGCTCTAGATATGCAAAGCAGTTTGAGCTCATCAGTGCTTCTTTCCGGTGTTTTTGCGGTGAGGAGAGAAACAAAAACCAGGAACGTATCGTTGAAATATGGTTCCACAGATTTTTGTGTGTATGTATACAATACATATTTTGTATATTCATACTGGTTTACCAGAGTTTTTGGGCGTCGTGGCTTTGGCGTAGAGATAGCTGTCGTCGTTAGTCGTTACGTTACTGTTTAAGCGCTTCCTCGTGGAAACAGTGGGCCTGCCGGCAGCAAAGGCTAGTTCTCGGATGTACAAGCTTCATGGGAACACAGGTGCATCGCTGCTAGTAGCAAGAAGCTACTAGTAGCAAAAAGCTACGAGTAACAAGGGCATCACTACTAGCAGCAAGGACGCTACTAGTAGCCAATGTACAAGCTTCATGTGAAAATTTCATGGCGCACATCATTCTGATCAGCGGTCATCAGGGCAAGTAACATGTGTTGCTGCGAGATTCTGTTTCGAACCACCCCATCACATTGCCCTTGTCTGGCTTCCATATAACCAGACAAACGCCGCCAAGATACAAAGCACTCCAGCAAAAGAGTCTCCCAGCCACATCCCAGCTTGCCTTCCTCCGTTGCACAACGGGTGGCCTTGGGAAAGGGACTTGTGCCAAAACTGAAAGATCAGTTCGTCACGCTCTTTCCAAATATCACTGCATTTCTCCGTGAAACACTCAAGGCGCGAAGAATGACTGTCATGGACCAAATTCTACGGCAAGGGAGTAGTTGCTCTCTACCCAACTTGCGCCTCGCATAAAACTTAAAAGGAATGAAGAAAACAACTGAGGCCAACAGCTTCACGGCAAAACTGCCCAAGGAAACAGTTTCTGTTGCTCCTTCTGGACGCTGACAGTGAACCTCAAGCGACAAAGCTCTTGGCTTAGTGGCAACTCTTAGAACTGCCAGGCTTCAGGCTTGAGCAGCGCCACTCTGTATGCGCGAGACATTCAAGTCGAGAGTGCAACATCATGACCTTTTAGATCCGGTTAGTAAGTCACACTCTCACAAGCCCGTGTGTGTGCAAAGCATCTTGTTGGGTACTCAACTGCGGTCACCGCTGAAATCTCCAGGAGGCTCTGCGTTTGGAGCCTTGGGCGGTTCACTTCCTCCTTCACCTCCTTCACAGGTTCCTTTGGCACTTCCTTCACCTGCCCATTCAATTCGTACACGGAATCAAGGCATCATCTGACAAACCTCACGCAGCTTGCACCTGTGGAGACTTTCAGAGGCTGTTCCCGCTCCTGAGCAACATGCTATTTGTATTTTCCGAACAAGTACTTCCCACATCTTCACGTTGCCAAGGTAAGCCAGGGTTCATTCCTCTCAGCAAAATCTTCCGTCATCTCTCTTGCTCTTCAGCCAATGAGGCTGTGTACATCATGAATCCTTCACCAGTATGGCATCATGTTTTGCGCAAGAACAAATGAATGCAAACTGCTTTCGTGAAGGGTTGGAAACTCAAGCGCACAGCGCTGCCAAGGAAACAATAGCGAGCCTGGATCGTTTCCGGCGCCTTGCTGATGACCGTGATCGGCTACTTCATTGATCCCCCAAAAAAGCTCACAAGTATAAATACAGAACATACAATGTCCAAACACTATAAATCCAAACACTATAAGTACAGCAGCTATATATATATACATAACAATTTTGAGGACCAGTTTTCTGCTTTCATGAGCGGGTACAAAAGCCTACTAAGAATGCAAGTCCATGTCTTGTGCGGGTCCCTGTTGCAGAAAGAAAAATAGCCCACCAACGCAACTGGATCGGAATAGGACTGCGCATTGCAACCCGATTGTAGGGCAACAGTATAAAGCGAGTGCGATTGTCACTGTATCGCTTTTTGAATTAAACAGCTTCCAGATCAAGAAGCGCGAAAAAT